GAGACTTATCCTAACCTTAACCATAACCAACACATGCCTAACCCTAACCCTAACCCTTAACCTTACCCTAACCCTAAACCTAACTAAGTCTTCACCCTAAAATGAATGATTCCCCTTATGGGGACCTCCAATTTGTCCCCATAAGGGAAGCGAGTCCCCACACATGACTGTGTAAACAGATTTAGGTCCCCACAATGCTAGGCCACACACACACACACACACACACACACACACACACACACACACACACACACACACACACACACACACACACACACACTATAGGATTCAACCATTAATTTACATCTAATAAATAAATCTTCACACACTGTCTTTGTTTACAGATGGAGGGAGCGTCCCTAACATCCTGCAGGTGGCCCCCATCCTAGTGGTGGAGCATTCAATGTGCTCCAGGCCTTACTGGTGGGGCAGCATCGCTTTGAAGACCATGGTGTGTGCTGGAGGAGATGGAGTCATATCCGGCTGCCAGGTACACATCTTTAATAATAATAATACATTTAATTTATATAGCACACTTTAGAAACAACGAGAAAAAAATACAATAAAATAAAAAGTTATCTAATTAGCATATTGAATACAATATGGTAATAAAAAAGGTTAAGAGCATAAAAGGTTAGAATAAAAAATAAATAAAATAAAGGACAGTCAGTAAGTCCAGAAATAAAGTGGATTGGATTGAGCAAATTCCTCGTATATAATGTACCTACCTACCTCTCATTGCATGGTCTCCACACTGGCCCCTCTGTTCTTACGACACGACATACTTTACTTTAATGGTCAGATCAAGTCTGAAATTTGACTTGCATCACAGCAGCTCCATGTGTAACATCCACATGGACAAATATCAAGACACAATACATGACAAACAAACAACAAACATTTAACATAACAGCACAATCACTGAGAGAAAACATGCTCAAAGAGCCTTCAGCGTGCATTTGATCTGGGATCAGCTCTGTATTTACTGTGAGGATTGACTGATGCAAAAAGGATGCTTCACTCTGACTTTATTGACCCTGTATCTCCCATTAGATGGTAGCCTTTCATATTCTCTGTTCAGAACATGGTTTGGGTCAGAGATGATGTTGTTGGACAGCCTTATTAGGTTGTTATGAGTCATAGAGTCTCTGACAGGGTTGACAAACAATCTTCTCGTTGTCCCAGGGCGACTCTGGCGGGCCCCTGAGCTGCTACACTGGCGGGGCCTGGAGGGTCCACGGTGTCGTCAGCTACGGTCCAATCCGGCTGCAATCAATTGAACAAACCCACCGTCTTCACCAGAGTGTCTTCCTTCCAGGACTGGATCTACTCAGTGAGCTTCCTGGTATATCTAATACATATCTGCATATTTCAATTTCCTGACTTTTGTTTGCTTTGTTTTTTTCCAGATTATCCAATAGGCTGAAAAATGGAACGTCGGAAATAAAATGAATTTGCATCTCAGTCATGTGTGTTTCATACATAACAGAGGGTTGCTTGTAGTTCTTATTTTAGCCACAAGATGGCGGTAGTGGTTCATGTTCAGACTTGATACCATGTACTTTGCTAAAGGTTAAAGATCATCTGACCTCCAAGTCTGCAACCCCATTGGCCAAAAACGGTCTTACACATATTTTTGATCGATGGTGTTTAGGTTGAAGTTGCACAGTGTCTATTTAATGTATCCAGAATGAACGAAAACCCCCTAAAATGTTTGAAAAACGACCTAAAGACTTAACAAGAACCACATTTTCTTGACGGTGGCCAATGTAAGCTAAATGCAGTCACCGGATTGACATTTCCTTCTCGTCTGGGATTTCTAGCCATGTGTGTGGTGGTAGTCAGGAGACTGCTGCATGATGACATCACACCGTGTTGTTCTGCTAGCCATGGAGACCAGAAACCACATGGATTCCTGTGGTTTACACACAAAAAACCCCAAAGACTGCCAATGCATAGACTCATGTCATAAAGGCTTTAGTGTATGATTTAAGTATGTTAACACTGGATATGTTTCCAGTTAGGAAGAGAGGATTACATTACACACGCTTTATAAATCAAACATCGGTTTAATAGGCATATTTCCTTTCCTATGGGTTATTATGTAGCATAAAGGTCATTGTAGGAGGCGTGTGGCGCAGTGAACTAGCGCGTTAGTGTTCAAACCCCACCGCAGTCAGCATGTCATTGTGTCCCTGAAGACACTTCACCCCTAATTGCTCCTGTGGGGATTGTCCACATTATTGTGTATTATTGTAATTTCAACAAATATGACAAACAAGAGCTTTTAGAAAATGTTTTTTTTATTATTATTTGGAGGGACAGGCTGTCAAATGGCTTAGATGAAAGAGACTGTTTTGAACAGCGGGTTAAAGTGTGAATATGTAAAAAATAAAGCAGCTTTGTTTGCTCTGCAGGACCATTCAAGCAGAAATATGTACAGCAAAAAAGTAAGACACGTTTCTTTTCTGAAAACAAAATGTAAAAAAAAAGCTGTACTGTAATACATTACATTGATGAACACTCACTGATGCCATTTCTTCACCATGTTTTTTGTACAAGAGAAACAAACATTGGCTTGCAAAAAGAATCAGTGCCCTCTTCATGGCGTGAGAACATATCGGATGGATTTTAAAATACTCAAAAAAGGCAAAAAGCGAATAATACATTTCCGATGTGCATTCAGCACTTTTCAAAGTATACAATTAATCAGAACAAGTTTTAACAAACGGGACCTGCATGCATAATTTCTAAAGGGTCCAGAAAGGCTGCAGAAACAGCTGTAGAAAGGGTGAGATATGTACATACACTCTCTAGTGTCCTCCACTGTCTTGTTCTGTCATGAATGAGGCAACTTTTTTCATTTTCAGGGTTTGTGTGTGCGATAAAAACTGTATAATATATGCAGTTTTTACCCACAATGCCCCTTGTTTAATTCAATACATAGTGTAACCCAAGTCACAGACTTCCAAGAAATTCAGAATACAATCAAATTGATCTTTGCAATTTACTCCGTTTTAGTGGCATTTCGCTAAGACATCTACTCATAAGACTGCCTCTGGGAAAAATACTTCAGAATGCTAGAGCGCCATAACCTTCATAAGTATACATTTCTCTATAATTCATATATTACAAAGTTTGTCCCGGATTGAATTTTTTTTTCATTCTTTAATAAAATATTTTAATTTGTCAGTGATTAGAATTCTTTGTCGACCCTACATAAATTAGTTATAAAATATTAGTGTAATTTTTCTATGGTTACATTATAGGCAGCGATACAATGGACCCATAATTTAGTTTCAGTGATTCGGGAGATTCCACAGTTTTCAGTCCCAAAGCTTAAATGGAAGCACTATCAGGCTCCCTGATAAGCAGGCACATCCAGTAAACTTCACAACACCCCCGTTTTATTGCCAAAATGTCTTAAATTAAATAGCTAATGAAATGATGGTGTAATAAGTTATCAAAAAAAAAAAGTTATATGTAAAAGAGAATAGATATTAAATACTTTCTGATGGACTTGTGGTCCCATTTCCCATAGCAATGCCATCATGTGAAATGGGGGGGAAAAGGAAGCACTTTGAGGTGAAAAATAACCACAGTGCTTCTCGAGTGAAAGTAGGCGGAAATAAATAGAATAGAATCATGAAAGGAAATAATTTAAAACAAAGTAATAGAGATAAAACAAGCTACAGCTTTAAATGGTATGAGCGTTTTCCTTTCTCATAAATAAGGAACTCCATAATTTAGCGTTGAACTGTTGAATCGACCCCATACAACCACAGCAATGCCTTTTCAAACATTTTCACAGATAAAGTGCTGATCGAGGAGCTTTTAGAGGGATTTCTTTTGTACCATATAACACCCAAAGGTGAGATCTTGAGGAGGAAGAGTCCACTAGCTTTAACAGGGTGGACCGTACCAACTCAAAGCCATCCGAGTGTGAGCCCAATACGAGAACACGTGTGATTTAACTCAGGTTTTACATGAAGGCCATCACAGCGATGGTCACCATACATTGCCTCCAAAAGCTAGAAAGCTAGAAAAATCCCTGAGGTGCACATTCAGCTGTGTGGAGATTCCCAACCTGGCCCCAGTTCAGGTTTACTTCCTGTTCATCACATGGTTGGTGATCTTGGTTTGGTCAAAATAGCTTTCTTAGGAACTGCAGAGCCATCATTGGTTACTAAGGGCCAAATTGATTTCCATTTTGCATTTTTAACACTAGCTGCCATCTCACACAGCATTTATCCCACACTGCTTTGCTAACTTTTTGAAGGCAAGTCTGGAATTTGAACATTTATTAGGCAATAGGGAAATCACAGCTTCCTCCAAAAATCACATTTATGTGCATGTTCCCTCCTCTATAACCTTTTTTTTTTACTTGCACTGTCCACTAGTTTCGTCAAACTTTCACAGACTCCATCACAGACAATTTCATGGCTTCCTCCAACAGCTGATTGTCTGTAAATGTGGCGGGGGGTTCAGGGACGGATTCGGAGAGTCCGATCAGCGACTCCAGGAGGCAGGTCCCGGGGTCGCTGGCCGGAGGGAGGGAGGGGTAGCTAGGCAACTGAAACTGAAAGAAGTTATCCATGTGTTCGTACTCCTTCAGGGAGTTGTAGAGCGAGCTGGGCCCCAAGCAGGGAAACCCGTCAAAGAACTCCAGGTCCGACTCCGAGGAGAGGCTCAGGTCCATGTTGTAACTCGCCGAGCGGTCGATGCTCGGGGACGGCGTTCGTGGCACACTGCCGCCGTGAAATAAAGCGTTCCCCTGGTTGGCGTTCTCGTCCAAAAAGTCTGTCGCCCGATTGTCTGTGTGATCGTCCAACAGCCCGGCGTCTATATTGTCGTTCTCGTCTGCAAAGTCTGCCATGCTGAAGCTGCTGAAGGCCTCCGTGGACAGGTGGTCTTGATGTTTATCTGGGTAGCAAATGTTTCGACAGTTCCCACTTCTAGAGCCGCCCACCGTGTCGCTAAAACTCAAAATGCTGAGGCCGTTGTCGTCCAGCTGGGTGTGGTGATCGCACGGACTCTCGCCCGCCCCGGAGTCCTCGCTCTGAGAGTCCGATAAGTCCGTCATGTCGCTGCTGCAGCTGTTCTCTCCTGCCAGGTCTGAAGTGAAGGCGTACGAGGGCACTAAGGTGGTGCTCTGATCCCTTTCCTCCGGGCTCGACTGCTCCTCCAGCCTCTTCTCCAGCTCCAGCTTCATGATGGTGTGGATGTAATGCGTCTGTACCCGGGTGGAGTTGAACTCGATGCGACCTTCTGTGTTCCCGCAGCCGTCCTTAGTGCAGCCGCATGGGAAGGAGGAATGATCCATCTGAGGGAAGCAGAAGGAAGTGGTTAAATGACTTGTGAAATGTGGATGTAGTGCCTCTTGTTAAACCGCAGCTTTTCCAATGTCCAAAGCTTCTGTGTTCAATCGAACGGCTCTTACTTGACACTTGATGCCAGCCAGGCTGCAGCTACACGTCTCCGGCTCGCAGAAGCCCTGGCAGTCACAGCCACAGTTTTCCCTGGAGATCCTCAGCTCGTGCAGTTGCCTCTTCTCGTCCTTGTCGACCTTCTTCACGCCGGCTTCTTTGAGTAGAGCGTAGCGCCGTTTGGGCGGGTAAGGATGGAGGAAAGAGCACTCGTCCAGATTGGCGCCACCGATATCGATGTCCTGTTCGGGGATGTCGTCCACCGTTAGCCGCTCCGCCTCCTCGTTCTCCTGGGTTCCATTCTTAGTCAGCTGGAGTGGAGAAAAAAGCATCGATGAGATCTTGTACTTAAGTAGAAGTACGAGTCAAATGATCCGTTCCACTTTGGGGCAACTTTGCTTACCTTTAACTTGAGAGCTTCGAGCTTTTCCTCCCTGAGTCTGTTGAGGAACTTTTCCCGTCGTAGCAGCCGCTGCTCCACGGCAAACTCGGCAAGCGAATAGGTGCGGAGAACGCTGTGGCGCTGCATCATTCCCAGAGTGCATCCTCCTCGACTGGGGACGCTGGTGAAGCCTTGGCACCGAGGGAAGAAGAACACCGTCACCTGGTCGAAGGTCACATTGCCCCGTCTGGCTCTCTTGGATTTCTTAAGGATGGACGTGGCTGTGGATGGAGGGAGAGTAGGTTTAGGACACATCGAACTCAATTGCTTAAAACAACAGCCGCCCTTGGAACATTTTTAAAATTGGCGCTCAGCAAGTTCTAAAAGTAAACATGGCATTTTTAACCAGAATTTCATGAATTTTGGGTCGATTTGAATGTTTAGGGGACTCAAAGCTACAATTTGTTATATTTAAAATGTCAGAAATGGATTCAACATGTTCAATATACCTCAAAACCACACCAAAATTGCCCAAATCGGTCAAGCAATTTTGTTTTGCTATTCACTGCATATGCTAATTAATGAAACTAACATGAAACGTTGGTGTACTCAAAAGGTCCAGGTCCACGCTGCTGGCAAACAGACTATTAAGTGCCACTAGATGGCATGATGCTCCACTGTGTAAGACTTGAGCAAACCTCGCTGAACAGACAGTAAAAGGACACCCCTCTGATTTATTGCCTAACCTTATCATGTACCAAATTAAAAGACTGCTAACAGGAGTCCAACACTCTCACATCCTGTAAAGTGAAACCTACACTACAGAGAACACGTCCCACCTCGTTGCTTGTCCTAGTGTGCGACCAAAGGAAAAAAACCCAACCTAGGAATTTCCCCGTGGTGACCGACAGTGTGGAGGAAACCCAGGATCACAGACGGGTGAGAAAATGCTCAGGCTTCCGGAAGAGGTGGAGGGTGGAAGTGGAAATAAAAACTGGCCTCCCTGCAAGCTGACAACTCCCCAACAAACTCGCCCGCTAACTGAGAGGGGTCAAAGGTCCTTTCTCTGGTGGAACATTCAAGAGCCACAGCCACCAGCCATCCTACTGTACTCAGACAAATACAATACAACCATTAAATCAAAGTAGAACCATATGTGGATTGCATACAGTTCACTTCTCCTGCATCACTTGCACTTAGTCTTTATGTATGTCTTATTATGTTACATTGTGGGAGGAGCCTGTGACTTAATTGTATCAATGCAAATCTACACTGTGGCTGTGACTGTAAAGCCCTTTGAACACTGTGTTGAGCATTACATCACACCTTCATTATTTGGTGGGTAATTCCTTGTTTGTTTTTTCGGGACACACCCAAAACAACTCTCCTCTGTTTAATAAATGAAGCTAGTAGGAAGAAAAGCACCCTCCCACCCCCATGCAGGTACAGACAATAGCTCCACTATGTCGTCTAAATCTGCCTTTCGGGGCAATGCAGATAAACCAAACTGCCAGTTCCAGCCCCACATCCATAAAGTGCAGTCAGGCTCATGACACCCGCAGGAGACAAATGACACCTCTGAATGGGAGCGCTTTGCTTTCCGTCCAACACAAACACCGGATTATAGGTTTCCAATCCGATCCTCCGAATGTGTCTGCATGCCTTCTTTTCTTGATTGTCCTATACTCCCCCGTCTTTCCCTCTGTATCCCTCCACCCAGCCTCTCTCAGCACCTGTGCTGGGTGCATGCCCAGGTTCCAGACAAGGCGTTGTGTGTTCCCAGCCTTGGCAAACTTCCATCTTTTCTTCCTGGCTGCCTGCCCCGCCATCCTGGAAACCTCACAACTGCTTGGCCTTCTCCCCCTACGATCCCTCTCCAACCGACCGGTCCCTCAAAAGGCCAGCAGACGCACCCAGGGTGGGACTTCAATCACGTAATCTGTTACAATTAACGTCTACACACCATGTCCTGTCCAAATGTGTGTTAGTACACCTCTGAATGTGTGTATATATATATATGAGTCTATGTGTATATATATTGCCCTGTTGTACTGTGCACTACACACATTTTGAGAAACATAACAGTAATCTGATTACATGTAACTGTAAGGGAATACAGTCAGTCCCCTTTCTTTAGTATTTTGACACAAACCCTCCTCAGGGCAAGGTGAGGCTCTGTCTGGTGAGCAGCCACTGCATAATGTGATTAGCCATTTGGCAGCTTTAGGGCATCAAATCAAACGGGATATTCATCGCAGAAGTCTGAAATCATTCCTGTGAAATGTTTGATGGGCTGCCAGCCGCCTAAGTTCCTTAACTCTCCCGTCAGAGCCTCCACAGAGACAGTGCATTAAATAGCATGTAGCATCAGCCCCTCTGTGATTTAGTGCTGCCGGTAAAGGACACTCACTGTTGTAGGTTTTTGCAGGCGAGCTGGGGTTGCTGGGGGTGGAGTCCAGGGTGTCCGAGTAGCAGCTCTCCCCCTCCGAGTCCCACCCCGAGAAGTCCGAGGAGAGTGAGGAGTAGCATGGGTCCTCGTCCACCTCCTCAAACTTCCTCTTGAGAAGCCCACTCATGGCGCCGGTGCGAACAATCTGCAGGAGAGAGCAGAGGGGGGGGCTCATCAGCACATTACTCACACTTCACAGCTTTGATGTTTTGTCAAATTCACAGGGGCAGCTTTTAGTTTTGATGCTCCGCAGATCTGGAACAAACTCCATGAGAATGTGAGGTCTGCCACAACCGTGGGTCCTTCTACAAACACCTTGCTTTTTAGAAGTCATTTAAAAAGGTTTTAACTTTGCACTTCAGCTTTTCTTGCAGCATTATGTGTATTTACAAAGTCTATTTGTAATCTATGTAAAGCACTTAAATAAACTAACCTTATGATAAAACCGTATGTGGTGAGTGAACACATTAAGGCTTCTTTCACAGAGGCGTTTCTGCAGTGTTATTGGTACAAACAGGTCGTGATCTCGGCCATGTGAGACCGCATGCATCCAGATCTCGTGCTGCACTCAGCTGAGAGTGGAAGTTCTCCGTGGCGCAGGAAGCAATCAATCAGGCCCATTCGCATAAGTCAACAATTACTGGACCCTTCACCCTCCTCCAGATCCCATCAGCTCAGCAAATGCATTGATTAGAGTGAAGGGCTCAGCACAGAGGTGACCAAATCAGGCCGCCACAGACCTTTCATTTCAACCATTCCCTTAATGAAAGCTAGGCTAAAGGTAGCAGTAGCATGTTTAATGTATTCTCGTTGTTAGTGTGTACAGCTCTGCTTTGTCTCGTGCATGTTCTCTTGTCCCAAGAGAGGAGCTGCTGGTTCAGCGATAAAAACAATCAATCCTTTGAGAGACAGGCAAAGACAAAGATAGTCATGGAGGAGAGAAAAGGCCATTTCATCTGAGGAAACAATATCTCATCGCTCGAGCACCTCAGCGTGTTCCAGGAAGGAAGCAACTGACATTAAATACTAACATGCTAGGAAGGCAGTGTGCTTCTTGGATACGGGACATAAGAGCGTCACGTACTGTAGCTCTGACAAACGGCAGACTCTTTCACAACTTCTGGGAAGAGCGAGGCGACAAGAGAGGTCAGCAAGGGAGGAAGGAAGGAAGTGAAGGAAGTGAAGGGAGAGGGAAGACATGACTGGGCTCAGCTCCAGCGCAGACACTCCCTACGATGATGTGCAAAGGGAAAAGATGCTTGTTTTCTTTTTTCTACTTTGCAATAAAACATTTTACAGTCTTTGGAATCACAGCCAGATCGCTGACAGCTGTTGCAGCTCGGGCGTGTAATGGAAGCACTTTCTGCTCATGTTTAAGGGGATACATGTTTATGAAGGAATGTCACCTTTTCTGTTTCTGACTGTTTTTAAAAAGGCATGTACATTTTGACATGTCTGCGACTCCAATCTGTCCTGAAAGCAAGCTGCACCATTTCTCCTTAGAGGACATTCAAAGCCAGGGAACGCCAAGCCCACGGATCCTCCAATGGCTTGAGAGGAACACCATGTTTGACCTGCATGCCTGGTTTCTTATCAGGATGTTATGCAAGCGTCAGCAGCTGAAAACGAGGCCTGAGCAGGTATGCAAGGAGGAGGTCATTTCCTGCATGCGACAGAGAGCAATTATGCAAAACCGGAGCTGCTTTCTGACAAGGATAAAAGAGAAGACAAGGGCAAGAGGATGACACCTTTGTACAGGGGGGGGGTTGTTGTTGCCGCAGTCAGATATCGCTGTCCCCAGTGCACATATGATGAATGAATCACCTTGCAATAGGTCAAGCTGCCTCTGCAACAAACAGAAAGGCATCCTTTACACTCTGACCACCTCAGCGCTTTTCTTACATCACTGAAACCAATGAGAAATTCTCTTCCGTCAACTCACTGGGGCGGGAAATAATCTCCAAATGCCTCTCACAGCCGCTAACACTATCATATATATAGTGGGAATTGCCTTGAAACAACTGTATCTCATAGTTAGACTAAGCAACGACCGAAAGACATCTGCAATAAATACTTTTAATGTGATTACTTGGCTGCTACTCCACTGCCTTACCCGTGCTACACTTATTTTTAACTACTGTTACTGGGTGTGTATTTTGTGCTATTTCTATTTTTATCTTTAATATAATTAATTAGTATGTTGCTATTTAATATCAAGGTGATTGTGATTGAGAGACACCTGGACGCAGCATGTGTTGCACACCGATTAGACAACAAGTGCAACCGTTACAGCGTTTGAGGAAAAGTGTTCACCTTACATTTTTTGCCATCGCTCACACCCCCCGGTTCGCTGTAAAGAAAGCAAAACAATGCTGCGAGGCATCCTCCAGGGAGTGCATGGAGCCAGCTAAGCAAAGTCTTTTTAATTAAAAGCTGCAGCGAGGCAGAAGGGGGGGGTGGGGGGGCAGTGGTGTCA